CACCCACACCCACCCACACCCACACCCACACCCACCCACACCCACACACACCCACACCCTCTATTAATAAAATGAATTTGATGTATGTATGAATCTATTTACATGATCAAATGTATGTAAGAAAACGATCTACTTTTAAAAATACTTTATCTACCTATGTGGTAATTGTTTGGTCTTATGTAGTTTTGCTAAAAAATTGTGATCTATGTTTGAAATTATTTGATTTGTCCATATATACGGGCGTGACAAGTCAGCATGATACCCCATTAATATTTTTTTGATACAGTCCTCTTGTAAGGATAAAACATGGTGTTGCTCGGGTGAATACAGGGTTATCTGGATCCTCTCTCATATGACCCGGACAATAGTATGTTTTATCCTTACAATATGACTGTATCAATAAAAATATTAAATGAGGTATCATGCTGACTTGTCACGCCCATATATATATATATCAATTTATATATGTATTTGAGTTTCATTTAATGGATGACATATATATTTAAAAAAAAGAATTTATTATTTCAATTGTTTGATTTATCCATCTGTTATGTATTTTTAATGATCCATTATTTAAATTAATGTATATAGCAGCGGTTCTGTGCGTATAATAGAATTTTATAAATAAATTAGTTGCTTACCTTGTGTTTCTTCCTCATGGGTAATAAGATAACTAACAGGTTGTAGCACTGATGTTTTTTTAAGTTGACGATATAAGAAACGGGCGTCACGATCAGGAAACAGTTCATTAAGTTCTTGGGAGAATTCTGTTGTTTTGAGAAAGGATAAAGCTTCTCGAATAAGATCACATTCTTGTTGTGCACCACCACCAACGAATAGCTTAAGATCACTAAGATGTTTTTTCTATTTTGACGAGTAGATAATAATGTATTGACTTTCAAATTTTCTTTTAAATCTTTCGAGAAATCTTTCATTAATTTCTTTAAGACATCTTTGGGGGTTTTTTTCTTGGGATCAAACGTTGTTGCTAGATGATTCAAGTAACAATATGGTTTACCATTAAGACTAGCGTCCAATAAGATGATGGAACATCCCGACGCACCATTAGTTTTAATTGTACTTTGACTGGTTCCATAGAAGTCCTGTTCAACATCGCTTTCATCATTTTCATATTGAGGATCTTTTTCCATATCAATTCGCAATTGACATCTTGTAAGTTGTTGTGGATTTTGAATAATCGAACATGAAACTTCACCTTCATCACCTTTATCCAAGTCATTGATTTGAAGTGTATGAACTGTTGAACAATTCTTATTTTCTAAATATATTATTTAAAAGCTCCCATAAGAAATTTTTAATTTTCAAAAAATGTTGGAAAAATAATTATAGAATTTTCAAATTCGATTTAGAAAAATAATTACCGATAGTATATTTTAAATCATTTTGATTAATTGGTTTTTCTCGATGTAACCAAAATACTTGACATGGGCCACTTGTTTGACAATAAAAAGTGATTTCTTCATCAATAAATCCATTGTTATTGGTTAATCGAACAACAAAATATGGAAAACTATTTCTAACTGTAAGATTTGCTAACGAAACACTTAAACCAGTTGATGCTATATATTCACCATTGTCATTTACATTAACATTTAAAATAGTTAATCGATGAACAAGACCTTTACGAAATGATTCAATACGCTATTTATCTGATGGTAACATACGTCCAGTTTGTTTTTTATACCACATAATTTTTTTAATCGGATAATCAAATTCACATTCAAATTCAGCATTTGATGGTTTTGCTGATGAACTTTCTTCAACAGTTTGTGAAATTAATCCGCGACGAAATATAATTCCTTTTTCTAGGATAAATTATGTAATTAATATAAAATGAGTGAAATTTATTTTGTTTTTACCTTTAACAAAGAGTTGAGCAGTTGACAAAATTTTATTATTGATGCCAATAGAATATTCACCTTGATCTTTGAAATTAACTTTTGATATAAGAAGTTGATGAATAGAATTATATGATGTAATTGTATATTTTTCAGATGTATGTATTGGTACTTGTTTAAATAACCATTCAACTTGAACATTTTTGGATAATTCACATTCAAATGTGACATCATTATCATTTTTGGTTATTATGGTATCCATAAGCGGACGAATAATTTTGATTCCAGAATCTATATTAATTATTAAAAAAAATTGTTTTTATTAAATAAAATATCAATAGTTTGAATAATAGTCTGGATTAATCTGAATTTAACATTGAATACTTCTTTATTGTCCTTAATATATTTATACACTTTATCGAAAACTTTTTCTATCTAGTTGTTATATTAAACAGATTCGATTTGTTTTATAACTAGCACTTCATTTCTCAAATTATTCTCGTAATGTTGTTCTATCGGTGAAAGTCTCACGTCAGATGATTTCTTTCTTATGTATGAAACAATAAGGAAAAAGAATTATACGGATGATTATAAAATTCCTTTTTTTTAAAGAACTGTTCTATTTAAAATAAATAATCTTGAACATCAAGATCAATTATATCTTTATTATTAACGATGATTTTAAAAGATCAGTAACAAATATTTAATCTTCGAATTTAATCTTACCTGGCTTTGTTTTATGTGATGGATCTTCTTTGATAGTCAAATTATCACGTAGTTCTTCTTCATCAGCCATTTCTAATGAACAAATAGAATTTCTTTTTTTTCTTTATTTATTAAATATTTCACAATTACTTATACTAATTATAACTATAATCACTTGTTTTAAGAAGAATATTGAGTGTTTCCCACAAAGTTTTCTAATCTAAAAATAAAAAAACATTTATCTTCTATAGTTTCCAATAAATGCAAAATACACTATCACAATATGTCGCATTTTATATGTGTTAATAAATAATCAATATTATCCTGCAATCGAAAATTAGTTTTACAGCATAATAGATGAACAGATGTTGAACTCTCAATTGTATGCTTAAATACTACGAATTCATTTTTCAGATTTAAAAAAACCACGAATTAATATTAAAATGTTTTATCATTTTATACTGTATGCATGACTTAGGTATCATTAACCCTTTTAAAAATTTGATATCTAAATATTATGTGTCAGCTGAATTACTTAATTGCTTGTTTGGTATTTTTGCTGTTGTAATAACTATAACAAAAGAGAATTATGATTAATTAATAATTAAAAAGGCAAATATAATCAACGCTTACTTCACAAAATAAAAACTGGCATAAGTAGATAATGAAAGAGAGAGAGACCATTGTCTACTATTTACAACGAATTCTTTATTCTGAATATTTATGTCAAAGATTTAAACAATAGTCTTATGATATGATTCATAGTGATAGATTAATAATATTTAATTAGAAATAAGGCAAGGAAAAATTCAACATTTAATTGAAATAACGTATTGTTTACTTTTTCTTCTATAAAGAAGACCTATATTGTGTAACAATATAGGTCAGCAGGTAGACGATGCTTTGTTCTATTCACTTTAAAGGAAACAAAGAAAACACTACCATTGATTCGATTTAAGGTCATCTATAAAGGATGTCCAAGTAAAAATCGCATTTTTGGATCCCTTTCTCTAGAGCTCGTCGGATTCGGGTCTGAAAAGTTCTATCGACCAGGTTCAGGCCCTGAACACCCACGAAAAAAAATTTTGCAAAAAAAATTGCTACCAAATGCGGTCTATGAAACCGCGGTTTTGACCGGTTTTTTTCGATTGCAGGAGTCAGACCATCAATGCAGCTCTGAATAACCGGAAAAAACCGCGGTTTTCAAAAGCTGCATTAATGATCTGACTACTGCGATCGAAAAAAACCGGCTAAAACCGCGGTTTCGAAGACCGTGTTGTGTAGCGATTTTTTGCAAATTTTTTTTCGTAGGTAGAATAATAGATAGGTACTTAAGTAGATACGCAGATTGTTAGATACATACATAGATGTATGCCACTACACTTTTAATTGATAAAGTTACTTAAGTACATTGTAGCAATTGATATATTGCTTTTGAGAAAAACCACTTTCAAACAATAAATACGCCCATTAGTCACTAAAAAAATATTAGTTTTCGTCCCCTATAAGTAGAATCGGCTATTATCCACAGTCACTAACATTTAGGATAGTTTTCTCC